CTAAATCTAATTTTCTTCTTGTAGTACCAAGTGACGGGACGAAGACGTGCGCCTGCCCTGGTGGTAAGCGACAGGCCTATCCATAGCAGTTACAGAGCGTTAAATCGTAAAAATCTGTGGGACACTGCCCCCACGCCGGTCACCCTGAGACATAAGTTGACAAGTCCCATGTGCCTATAATTTTACCTGCACCTTTATCTTTCAAAACTGAAACTCAGTATATTACATAGAGTTGTACTGTTACTCAGAAATATTGTGTTTTTATAAGGCCGTCTCGTTTGTTAGGCCGTTTATTCAAAAGCTTAGAGGAAAAATACAATTTCGTTTATATTTACTAAGTAAGTTACCCGTTCAACACACCTCTGTTATGATACATGATATCTATGGCACTATCGACTTAAAGTCCTTATCATGAAAGCGGATTTCAGTGATGACGTCACGCAGCTCACGCTTCGCCGCCGTGATGGGGGCGTGACCGGCGTGTGCACGTCAGATGGTGCTACCACTCGTGAACGTGATGGGGGCTTGTGGGTTTGGTTGTTTTTGTACTTTTATAATATATAACGGACTAATTCTTGGGTTGTCCAGTCTTAGATGACACGGTTGAATATATGTTCTTTGATTGTAGATTTGCCAGGTGCAGTTTAGCAGTAGAACTTCTTGTGAAAGTGTTCGTCCAGGGAAATACTGCCACTTTGCCTATTTCTATCGCCAAGCGATAATATGAGTTTTACTGCGTTCCGAATTTGAAGGGCGCTGGTGAAATTACAGGCACATGGGACTTGCCAACTTATGTTTCAGGGTGTCGGGCGCAATGGCAGAGCTCCTGCGATTAAAATGCTCTGGAGACTCGTTCGTCCCGCGACTTGGTAACATAGAAAAGCTAATGTTTTGAACAATTTTGATTATTTTGAAGATATATGAAACAATTTTTTATTTCGGATCCGAATATATTTGTTTTATAAAAAAACAGCATTTTAGGACCTTTACAGATCCCGTGATCACCATTGACAGTGAAAACGAAAACCTGATAACTTGAAAATTAAAGGTATTGGCTTCTTCGGTTGATCCGATTGGTGTATATTGGAAATGATACACTTTTTCTACATGTCAAGGAACGACATTGTGGTTTGTTTCAAAAAACAAATGTAGGTACGCGAGTTAGATCAGAAAGAATAATTTCATTTCTATAGAAATTGGGTGTTACCTGAAAATCGAGTTAAGTGTCGTTGTTTTTCTAAGCATTATTAAATTTAGTCATGAGTATATTTACTTTACATTAAAATTTTTCGTTCTCTTATTAGTTTTTATTTTTCTTCTAAGATATCATCTGTAGAAATAAAGTCTTTCTTTTTATTAACATGCTAAATATGTTTAATACAGAAGATAGAAAAAAA